AATATATGAGGTTGTGGCGAATGCTAAACATTAACTCCAGTTCACCCATTTGGTCGGTGTTACTAACCTACAGCTGAAATGTATACACACTGAGTAATTTGGTGTCTGTAATGTATATACATCTCTGCCTTGAAGTAATACTGTGGACAGAGAAGTCAACCATAACTGACAATTTATTTGTTGGAAGGTACGGTGCAAAGAACAGAAAGGCGCTTTGATATCGAAATATGTGGCAAAACGAAGAACTGAATTATGTGATAAATGTGAGGACTGAAATTTAGATATGGTGAAAGAGATAAACAGTAATGACTTCTTGTCAGATTTACAGTATATGTAACCCGTCTTGAAAGTGGTTAATTTGGTAAAAGCAAAGGAGCCCTAGAAATGAATATGAAATGAAACTGGGCTCTTGTTGCCTTTCATATAATATATGATAGAGGAAAAGAAGTTCTGGAAAACAGTCTTTAGAAAGTGGCAATATACTAGCAAAGCTGTTTTAATGTCTCAAGGGCCATAGATTATGTAAGTCTTGAAAGCAGTCATAACATATTCCACCAGAATTGATAAAAAATCAATGACAGAAGACAAAATTCAGTGATAAAATACATAATAAATTGATTACAACTGACAAAATGGTGATGTAGAGAATCATCACATTAAAACCACTAAACTTGTAGGGTCTTAGAACAGTTTCTCTGTCTGTGCGTTGCACAATATCAACTGTAAACTACTGTATAGGAAGTAAGAAAACACATGTGCAAGGTAATATATGTATAATACATTTGTATTTAGTATACAGTTGGTGTGTTGCAGGTCTGACATATAATAGTATCTCGCCATACTGCAAAGGTTGAGAACCATTGCCTTGAACTAGCTTCATCAATATAACCAACAGCAACGCCAGCTTTGGTAAACTCAAACGGCAGTAATAAATAGGATTGTTCTGTAAGTTGCTGCAAAAGACTGAGTAAATGATGATCATGGCACAGCAATAGAGAGCTGAACCATTCTATTACATATATAATATATATATATATTATATATATATATATATATATATATATATGTACACACACACACACACACACACACACACACACACACACACACACACACACACACACATATATATATATATTGTAGGTAAGGATTATACACTCCCCTGTGGCCTGTTGTAGTAGATTTTTGAAGAAATCAGCAGTCAGCTATTAACCTAATGTGATTTACTGTAGAATATTAGTTTAGATATTAGTATGGAGAAGAAACACTAATAATTGATTATTTTATTCTATTTTGTCGACGAGACGAATCATCAGATTGATGTTCGACTGCCGTCTATCTTAAATCTACTAAAGTATTTTTTGGAGGGCCCCTAAGTTATGTCTGCTTTCGGTCTTCTACTTCTCCCTCTCTTTCTTTTACCTCCCTTTACTCTCCCTCTCTTTCTTTTACTTCTTCCTCTCCTTCTACGTCTTCTTCTTCCTCATCCTCTCTCCTTCTCCCTCTCTTTCCAACCTCTCCCTCTCTTTCCAACCTCTCCCTCTCCCTCTATCGCGGCGTGAAAGCGACCCAATGCGTGGAATCAATAAGAGAAACATTTATACGCGTTAACGTTTCCTTTTGACGTAATGCAATGGCGGGTCGCAAACGTTGTTGCGTTATTCAGAGCGGAATTTTAGAGATTTAAGTGAAAACAGAAACTTATTAGGAAGGGAGAGTTTAATAAAAACACTAACAAGGCCCTATTGAAGACTACACAAACTAGAGATGAAAAAAACATGGATCATGGTAATAATAGCAATGGTGAAAGGAGAAAGAATATGATCTCTTTAACGACAGCAGACTTTAGTATCAACCAAACAATAAAATATCTCCCTCAAACCATACAAACTATAGAAGGCGAGAACAGAGAGATAACAAAGATGATAATAACGATAACAAAAATCGTGGGAAACCTTGAGTACAACAAGTTCTTTGTCTGAAGTACGACATCGAAGAGTAACAGAGGAGGAGAGAGAGAGCCTTCATGTCTCTCGATATATTGTATGTCAATTAATTATCTTCTCGTTTGATTGACGTTGGCTTAAAATTCCGAGGAGACTGGTGAGCTCTGCAGGTAAATTCTTGTTGGAATTTAGAAGCTGTTGAAAGCGTGCTAGACATGTACAGGGAGAGTGAATCGAGGGTTGGGTTTTCCGTGCTTTTAGGCAGGACACTCGGACCCATAAGTATATATATGCAGCCTATTTCATGTTTCGCTAACTTTACATGTAAACGTGTCACAAGAACTTTTTGGATATTTACCCTAATGTCATAAGTTTGAAGTGTATGTGACCGGCAGCCGGGTGGCAGTTTCAAAAGATAATGTGATGAGCATTGTTACCGTTCTGACCTGACCTAACATACCCCGTGTTAACCTTCCCTGGCAAACCCTACCCATGGGTTCCCTATTGAAATGCTAGCTGCCTGTGGGATACTGTTCTTTAAAGAGGAGAATATG